CTGTGCCAAACCACAGAAGAGGAAAAAGATGAATGATAGGGAAAACAACTGTTAGAGTAGAACAGTCCCACAGAAAGCGCGCCATTGCGTACAGTCATTGGCAAGATCTTCCAGCGATTGTAACCAGATGTGCTGGGGGTCCTTTGGTCCCCAACGCGGTAGCCGGGAACGCACAACAACAACTAGATTCAACGTATGCGCATTAACGCAATAGATCCAAGTTGTATATTGCCTTCCTTTTCGTTACTTACAAGTCACGCCTGTGCTAGCAAATAGGGCTCGTCATGGTAACCACTGGGTAGGCATGCGGAGCACATGTCCAAGCCAGCGAAGCCTGCGAAGTGAAGTGATGCTATCAAGCGGTCGGCGGAGTTCGTTAGATCTGAAGACTCGCCGACGGACTTCCTCATTATTGATGTGATGCTGCCATCGAACACCAGCAATGCTTCGCAGGCAGCGGTGATCGAAGACTGATAGCCGCTTTGGCGAACGGGCCAAATCTCACAGCCGTACAGCATAATGGCTGGTACCGTAGCATTGTAGACTCGTACCTTATGTGCGAGCCTGTCACCACGAAGCCACAGATGACGAAGGTCCGCGAAAGCAACTCTAGCCTTTGAGACACGCAGGGAGATCTCATCTGTCAAACCGCAAATACTAAGACAACTCCCAAGATAAATGAGTTTTTCGACAACTTACAGCGGATGCACCGAAAGGATGAGAGAAGGACATGCACTTGGCCAGTACTGTAATAGGACCTCACATTTGGAAGGGGCAAAAGTCAAGCCAAATAGGGAGGCGGAAGTCTCCAGTCTGAGCAACACATGCTGGGCGGCTTGGGAGGACTTACAAATCACAGCGATGTCATCGGAGTACTCTAAGTCCCGAAGGCGGTCACCAGGGAGCAGTTCAACATCGCAGTAGTCAGAGTTTTCCAGGGCAGTATCCAGTATCTCGTAAATGGCGAAGTTGAACAAGAATGAAGAGGGTGGGAAACCCTGTCTAACACCGCTCGTAAAATATGAAAGGAGGGCGAAATGTCTCTGTATACTCGCACGCGGTCCGAAGTTTGATGGCAAATGGCATGGAGAATGCTGATGTAATTTTCCGGTACTCCCCTCTTCTGTAAGCAGTCCCAAGGAGCCACTCTAGCAACAGAGTCAAACGCGGCTCGAATGTCCAAGAATATGACCACGGTTGGTCGACTGAACGTATTGCGAGGTTAAGTGTCTGGCGGATCGTAAAGATGTGAGCGACGCAACTGCGACCCGGACGAAATCCAGCAGGTTGTTCACGCACTTGATGTTCCCGTACGGAACTGAGCCTCCGCAATAGCAGTGCAGCGAGCAATTTGGATACGAAACAAATGAGACTGATGCCACGATGGTTGGAGTAAATGGCCCGGTCTCCTTTTTTGTAAACTGGTACAACATCCGCTACATTCCAGTCGGATGGAATGATTTCAGTAGTCCAAATCTGAAGGAATAGAGATGTCTTCTTGAAGAGAGCAGGAGGAAGTTCATCTGGACCAGCTGACTTGTGGCGCTTCAGTAGGCGAAGATCATTGGAAATCTCAGCATCTGTCGGCGGGGAAACATCCACGCACCAGGGAGCACTATGAAATCCTGGAGATAGACTCGGTTGCGCTGGTGGCCAGTTGAACTGATCTTCAAAATGCTCTGCCCATCGTACCAGATGACGGTGGCGGCTGTGAATTAGTTCACCTTCATTTTCACGCAAAACCTCACTCGCTGTTGGTGTTCTGTCTCCCGTGAAGCGAATGATTTGGAAGAGTTTGAGGGTTTCCTGATGAGGCTGCCCGCTTCATCTCAACGACGCGCTGCGTCCACCAAATCTTACGATCCTTCCTGAGGAATTGTCTGAGCTCAGAACCTGCGATTTAGCGTAGTGCTTTATACTCAACGCCGGCGGGAATTGTTCGACGACTTTCCATTAAGTGGAGAGTGTGCAGAGATCCAATGAAAAGCGGTTCATCTAGTAGCTGATCAGGATCCGAATCTGAATCTGTTTCCAGTGTGCTTCAACATCGGAGGATAGACAACGCAGTTTGGAGGCGAATGTGTTCTGAAACGCGCCAGGAACATTTGGGGCGGCGAGTTTATCTGCGTCAAGCCGTTGCCGGCGACGCCGTTGGCTGCCTCCAAAGCACAGAATGAACTTAACCCACACGAGCGCATGATCCAAAGTTAGGTAAGTGTTCCAAAGTGACTTGCAGTCCGTTATGCAGCCTCGCCAACGGTAACTAACAGTGATGTGGTCAATTTGTGTCCAAGCTTGAAAAGGCGCCGGTAGTCCCCAGGTGGCTCGTTGGCGCCAGGAACGTCGAAAATTGGTGCTGGTAAGGAACAAGCTGTGGTGGGTGCAGAGTTAAAGGAGTCGACCGCCGCTGTCCGTCCTGCGAATACTGTGGCTGTGTTGACCCCAAGTTCGCGCTCATGAACCTCTAGTTTACCTACCTGCGCATTTAAGTCACCGGCGAGTATCACGATGTGCGTGCGGCGCTTTTTGCGGAGAAGGTCGGTGAGTTGGCGGTAGAACCCGTCTTTAGTTTTGTACAGGCTGCAGTCCATAGCAGCGTACGCCGGCACAATGAATAAGTAGCGCCTACTGGTCTCGTGGCTGGAAGAGCGCACTGAGCTTTCCAAGCAGACTACACAAAGACGGCTGTTGACAGGGAACAAGTCAATGAGCGCTGCCTCAGCACGCGCGCTTAACGCAGCTCCTACGCCGGCGCAGCCAGAGGCTGCCGCTGTCGCATCTCCAGATAAGCGCAAGATGAACGTGCAACTAGAACTTGGGGATGGTGAGTACAATCGCAGCGTTGTGCTGGAGTTTTGTAAGCTGGTTTCGGTTAGACAGCGAACGTCGATTGAGAAGGTTTCCAAGGTGCGCGTAAAAGCAACTTGCAAACCAATCTGCATGAGCGTCCGAACATTGAAAGTAGCTAGCTTGAAGAGCGAGCGGAGTGCAATGGATGTCTTGCTGTTGGTATTGAAAGGCGTGCGGTCGGTTTTGAGCGGTTCATGAGGCCAAAGGTACCGTTTTTGTTTGCAACACACATATGGAGGCTCGAAATTGGATTGAAGAAACGTTGAACGAAGAACGGGATTTGCGGTGCAGTAGAGTGAGGTTTAGCATGCCCGAGCGCCAGCACCCTGGCCAAAGAGAGAGTTCAGAGAGCGAGAAACGTGAGCAGAGTCGTAAATCCATCATGTCGCGATACTGCAGTTTGCTGAACTACCTGGGCCGATTTGGGACGTTGATGTTATAGTTCCTACTTTAGAAAAACTTCGACATGAGTTTACCTTGTAGAAACCTCGACCAGACCACTCTCCGTCATTCTCACGGAAAGATAAAGTTGACTCGCTGTTGACTAGACTTGCTTCTCTAGTTGAAGCGATTTGAAACGCTTAAAGAGGTTCCTTCACACTGGCAACTGTCAGACACCTTGCTCACCTTCAAAAAGATCAAAGAACTTTAGGTGAAAATGACTAAGGCATTAACCTTAAAACCGTTGCCTCCAGACGTATCACGAATATCATTCCTCGACGACATATTGGTCCCCGTGAGAACCGGAATCACTGAAAGCCAGGCTGGCTTCCACTCTGGTCGTGGTTGTATCGACCACATATTTACTCTTCGTCTACTGTTGCAGCAGAGACAGACTTACAGAATACGGACCATGAGGGTTATGCGTAGCCTGAAAGCGGCCTTCGACTCTGCTGACCACCCCAGCTTGCGGCACTGGTTTGGGTAAGGGAAAGTACGGAGAACTCCTTTCCACTCTTAAGTCTGCCTAGCTTGAATCTTGTACACAGAAACGCACCCTTGAGTTCCTTACAAGTAGAGTTCGCCAGAGTTGTCCTAAATCCCCTTGTTTCTTGCACATTGTGATCAAAATTATCATGAAAAACCCCGTTCTTTCAGGCTCTTTTAGAGTATGTTCTGCCAAGCGATCAACTGATAAACTTTGAGAATGCGGACGACATAGCTCTACATGGGTCTGACGCAATAGCTATGCATGCATTACTGTACAGACTTACGCGTCGTGTTGCATGTTTCGGCATGTGCCCCGCAACTTAAGTGTCAAGTACTGCTGTAGGACTGGGCAGATACCTCCGATACTGGCTGTCACCGAAAAGCAAAAAAGGCCGTAGACTTTCACGCGCTCCATCGCCGATGTGTGTCGTTTTTTATGCTCAATTTACTCACACCTAAAGGTCCTTTTGATTGCTAGCTGTTCATGCGATTGGCGTTCACGAAATATTCTAACACATTCCGTTGCTGACTCCGTCAACTTATTTGGTCACGTTGTCACGCTGCGGCCACTGAGGCACAGTAGAATAAAACCAAGACGATCATGAACGAGCCCGAGTGTTATTCGTTCAAGAGTCCTCTAAGTTATTGCCATCTCACTAAATTAATTAACTATGTCATGTGTAAATATGCATCATTTATGCAACTCCACATAGATGCAACCGATGGAACTCAAGAACCTCGTGATTCCAGCTATTGTACGCTAGGTGTGAACCTCGATTCACCCGCCGTAGTAGACTTCAAAGATCTCGAACAGCCTTCCCAGAGGAGATGAATTTGGCGATTCGAAAGAGATGCTCTATGTTTTGTGCAAAGTTGTACTGTAGCTCTGCCGTCCCCAACTTATTCCCATTCTACTAATTTCCATTGCGCACTTACATCTGTTTCCTACCGAGGCCCGAGAGTGATCTGCTCGGTGGATCCAGGCAGAAACGTTTGATTCTACCCACTAGTATATCGGCCCACTTCCAACCGAATATAGAGTCCAGCAAATTCCACAACGGTACTGTAATCGAAAATTGTATCTCTAGTTGGGAATACTCACGGAACTCTGTCCCATGGCTTCTATTCATACGTAGTAAAGCTTTTTAGATCGCTCAACAATCAGTCAAGAATGAAAGTACATGTAAACTTATGCAAGTATACGCAGTATTGACGAATACCTTGCTCAGAAACGAGAGGCGCTGTCACTGCCTCGACCGTAGATCTGCAACGTTCGTCCGAAGAGCTCACAGGGACGTTTTGCTCAGTTTTCAATGATTGATCAGAAGTAAACGGAAACTTGAAATCCAGTTTATCATTCTCTTGAGTATTCGGGTTGGCATCAGGCATTTCCCACTTTGGAAATGCAGCAGTTGAATATGCATCTGTAGGCTCGGGCTTCGGTCTCAGGACATAGAGACTCAAAGGTTGCCTCATCTGTGCAGCTTCATCCTGACAAACAAAAAACAGAGTACATAAATAACCCAAGCACTCAAAATCAGCTCGAGCTTTCCTCGGACGCATGCGACCACAGGCTGGTGCACAACTTAAAAAAACGTAGCACATACGCAAGCACAAATTCAAGAAGTAGTTACACACTAGAGTGGGGAATAGCGTCTTCACTTCAATAAAATACAAATCAAAGTCAGGCTGGCAGCGTTAACCGAAAACCTTTATGAGCCAGATAAGCTGTGTTCAAAACGCAGTTAGAACGATTGGTCGAAGTGATGCCGCTTAGGTAGATATGAAAAGACTGCCATATCAGTAACGGAAGTCAAGTGTACGCCGAACATAAACGCTTGACCATGACCATCCTGATTCAATAGCCAAAAAATAGTAGATATGAGATGTTAGAAGTCGACACTTTCAAAGGTAAAAACAAAACATCCGTGCCTACTTGGCGGACGCCGAGATAAACGGTATCAAGAAAAACAACAAAAGCATATCAGTACTCTGCAAATGCTTGTCGATGGCATAAAAACAGAAAAATCAACAGAGATGGTAAAGCAAAGAGGAAATACAGAGGGATAAGGGAGAAGTAACTTAAGTAAGAAGGGCAGTTGCTGCGAAAAGATCTGTTTTCAATAATTCTCCTCAGGCGTTTACAATTATGAGAAAACTTGATACAACACGATAAGCTATTTAAAGTTGCAGTAGTGAATGATTAGGTCACAGTTCAACGGAAGGTCAAGGAGCCAATCGATGGAGCAGTCAATGCAATAAGATGGCAAACGTTACGCGCTTTCACACCCGAAACACTGCAAAACAAACATGACAAGAAAGAAATGGTTGGTTTGGCGTCAAAGCTCACAGTTAGTCCCGGGCAAAGGTAGGTACGGATGGTGTCAATCGTTCCAGCCAAGGCAGCGTGAGCGCTTGTTTAATCGTCCTCTGCTTGCATAACTCCGGTTGCAGCAGCGTGATAACCATTGCTTCTGAAGTAGCTAACAGGCGCATCCTAAGTCTATTTGGGTTGCGTTTAATTACGGCATAAAGAATTGTGGAAGCGTGATCGTTCCGAACATGATGCTCCGTAGTAATCAGGAGTTCAAGGACGAAGCTATGAGCATTCCTAACTGTACCGTGCCGTAAAGAGGCGGGACAGTGTTCCGCTATCCTCTTAGACAGACGCCTGGTAGTGTGTCTGAGGTACGTGGCACCACAGGCGCAGGTTAACTGATATACCACGAAAGATTCGGAATGAGCCGGGGTTTGTCTTTGAGGCTTTTAGTGAGAAAAGGAACAGTCTCGGCAAGAAGGTGGACTCTTGCAGCCGGATTTGTTTAGTTCACAGCGACGGAGAATCTTTTGTTCAGTAACTCGTAGGTGATATCTCCTTTGAAAGGAAACGAAATGAAGACATCCTTTTTCTTTACCGTGGGTATTTCTTTAGGTTGATCAGAAACATCAGTATGTTTGTGAATAAATGTCGTGGGACATCGGTTGTGTTGTAGCGTTGTGAGAATGGTTCTTCTCAGCATCCAATGTTTCTGGACTGCAGATCTTCGCGGCGCGATAGTTAAGACAGCGCACAAGGTATCTCTTGTATTTCATGGGCCCAAAACTAAAGAAATGCGTGTACTGGCACACCCACGTAGACTTGTGGAATACTCTCAAGGAATCAATCAGCTCGCCGCCGCAGTAACACATGCGAAAATGAGATTCCACCGTCGTTCTCCATTTCACATGTGAGTTTTAACGATGGATGCAAACGGTTGAACTGATCAAGTAGGTGGGAGGATAGATCTTTGGGTCGCATACGACGAACGTGTCATCCATGTATCGTCGATAGAAATCAAGTGACGCAATAAGGTTCCGAATAGGAGTGCGCTAAATTTTTAGGATGAAAATATCGGCAAGAAGTGGCCCTATAGGAAACCTCATTGCGACGCCGTCTATCTGTCGGTAGTATCTTCTATCAAACAAGAATTGTTTGCTGAAGGTACAACGCAGAAGTAGTTCCTTTACTCGCTGAACCGGAATACTGATGTCAATATTGTTTTCGGTTAGGTATTCGCAAATAAAGCTAACAGTTTCTATCAAATGGAACATTCGTAAAGAGTGCTTCTACATCGAAAGAGAGCATCAACTTGACCCACACATTCAGGAGTACTACTTGTTTAACAAAATCAAAAGTATCGTTCACAGTGTGGACCGATAGTTCCCTACGTAGTGGTTCGAGTAAGTCAACAAGCCACTTGGCAACTACGTGTACAGCAGAGTCGGACATGTCGATGATCGGACACACTGGTACGTTAGGCTTGTACCCTTTTGGTAGCCCGTAGAGGCGGGGTGGGCGTGCGCCACATGGGGTTAGACGCTCGAGCAAGCAGTCTTCAAGACAGTTGTCGCGCTTGAATTCTTTCAGCAACCTGGTGAGTTTGGCTTCAGCATTTACGGTGGCATCATTTTGTATGGGGCCAAGCATGAATTTGATCGTATCCTGCAAAAAGGCATGCAACTTCAACATATGGTCCGATTTGTTCATCAATACCCAATCCAACGGCACGGTAAACTTAAGAATGTCCCTAGCATCATCCTTGAACTCCTGATTACTACGGAGCATCATGTTCGGACCGATGACGCCTTCACAGTTCTTTATGCCGTAATTAAACGCAACCCAAATAGACTTAGGATGCGCCTGTTAGCTACTTCAGAAGCAATGGTTATCACGCTGCTGCAACCGGAGTTATGCAAGCAGAGGACGATTAAACAAGCGCTCACGCTGCCTTGGCTGGAACGATTGACACCATCCGTACCTACCTTTGCCCGGGACTAACTGTGAGCTTTGACGCCAAACCAACCATTTCTTTCTTGTCATGTTTGTTTTGCAGTGTTTCGGGTGTGAAAGCGCGTAACGTTTGCCATCTTATTGCATTGACTGCTCCATCGATTGGCTCCTTGACCTTCCGTTGAACTGTGACCTAATCATTCACTACTGCAACTTTAAATAGCTTATCGTGTTGTATCAAGTTTTCTCATAATTGTAAACGCCTGAGGAGAATTATTGAAAACAGATCTTTTCGCAGCAACCACTTCGGCTAAGGTATGAATGGGCATAATACACGAAGTAACTTAAATAAACATTCAGGATCAAGGTATTTACCCTCTGGCAACACCTCCCAATCATGAAGATACGGGGGTAGCAACAGACAGCTTTCTTGCGGCTATGAGGGCCTTCAAATTTAGCCGAGCTCTACGATTTCGGTCCGTGGAATTCTCCAACACACTTGTTACTTTTAACTATTACGTACTTGCTTTTATTCGTCACTAGTTCAATGGTGCTAATCTACTCGCGATATGTTAAAATCGCCGTGTTTCTAAGCTTGTGAATTGTATATCATCCAATGACTGTGTTATAAGGAACAGATGGGAAAGATTTCATATTATGTTTAATAATTCCGTTAGAAACCGTCGTGCTGGATGGAGGGTCGCCATTCAAAAGAAAAATAACTGGGAGATATGGGTGCGCCTGTAGTGCTTAGCGCCAACAGCCGTTTGACCCTAGGAAAATTAAATGAAGTGTCGAATACAGTCCTTATCAAAGAATTTTCGCAGCTAGGTATCATTACATTGCAAGAAACCAGGCTCCGCGAAGAAGTGGACAATGCTGTCGCATCGGTAGGAAAATTTAGTTGCCGGTGGGTTGGCCGCCCATGCACGTACATAAACAAAGGTGGAGAAGCCCATGTTTACACTAATCCATCGTGCTGTATGGCTACAATAGACACCTTTTGTTTCTCTTCGCAATTCGTTGACCGCTTAGTACTACAATGCAAGCCGAAGTATTTGAGTGGCTACCGATCAATATTATTGGCTAAAATCTATAAATCCCACCAGTCCAGAAGGAGAAGCAGAATTTTCACGATGAATCTGCAGCATCCGTCACAGAACACATCGAAGGTTCTCTATGTATCGTCCCCGTATATTGCAGTAGATTTAAAACCACTTTTCTCATCATTCGCGAGAAGATCGTAAATTTACTTAGCACATTAGATGCAATCCTGGACTTGGTGTACAGTATTATTAGGAAATTGCTCTATATATGTAATTGACAGTTCCGATCACTCAGCAAACAAGATTCCTCATAGCATCCATAGTAAGACAAACCACAGATATCACTCGCTGCACAAATCGAAAATTCAGGCAGTGGTAGTGTTTTTCACCAAATATCGATCGACTTGGTGGAATGGTTGAATCCAGATAATTTAGTTTACTCTTTGGCTCTAGAGTATCCAAGTACTGTGACAATTTGACAAGCCAGCTAAATTTTGTTTTGATATCTGCTGTCCTAGGGAAACTCTACGTCCGCGTGGATATGTTCTCTTCGCCAGACCTGAAGCGTTCGTGCAGATCTACGGAGTGTTTAAAGAAGAATACGGCACTTCAGTGAGCTAAGCCGTCTTAAGCAAGTGTATATCTAGCCTGTTCTTGGGAACGGCAACTGTCGCGAACTCTGGAGGAAATTGAAACCGCTTAGCAGAGTTACTCGATGTGCGTCCTGTTTCAAAGCACAATGAGAAGGTTAAAGAATTGAACCATGGTCTCTGTAACCGCGGTACTAATATATCCTCAGAGCCATTCTGTTCCTAAATTCTGGGGTTTGTTGACAGCGCAACACAATATTTTACTAAGATGCCTACGTTCCGATGAAGCTAGAGGTCCGAGCATACTACCTCCCACCGTACTCAAAGAATGTTATGACATTATGGTAACACCTCTTGCGTTTGAATAAATAATGTGTATGCTGCAACACAAAATCGCTGACTGCTAGATAAGTGTCCGTATCACACCAGTGCCGAAAAAGGATCCAACAAACTTCAGCCTATCGCTTGCATTTCTGTTATCTTGAAGATTTTGGAGAAAACCAATCTTGAAATGATGCTGTCCCAAAGTCGCTCGAATGACCTTCAATTCACTTATCGTAGTTCGAGGTC